AATATCCTTTTGGCCAGCCTGGGTCAGCTGTCCTGGCTGCGCCCTCTCCCAGCTTCCTGTGCACCCCCAGCCTTCTTGCTGGGGGTGGTGCGAGAAGCTGAACAGTCCTTGACTGCTTAGCAACAACTAAAACCATCAGTGTGTTACCAACATTATTTTCATCCCAAATCCAAAACATAGCTTCGTACTAGCTCCTATGAAGAAAATTAACTCTATCCCAGCTTAAACCAGGACACTGTCATCCTGAGGGAGTAGTATCTTTAAAGATGGATAAAAAGAGGGAGCTTTAAATTACTGTCATCACTTACTAGCATGTTATGCAAGAAGAGGGTATTAAATTTGTATACTGTGCATTAATGATTAGCATATCTTCTGCTCCCATTGTTTGGAGATATGATGTTGTGCTACCCTTTCTGAAATCTCTACCGCAGTATAGATAATTAGGGAAAAAAAAATTCTTACTAACACACAAATTAAACTAGGTTAACAAGCTGAGAGCAAAACTGAACTGTGAACTGAAATGCTTCTGCTTGGCCACAAGATGGTGCAAAATGCCCGCCTATTAAATGAAGTAGTGACGTTTCACCAGCAATACAGTCCAATCCAATCAATTCTGAAAGAGTAAATTGTAATGTAAAAGTACTTTGGGGTTCTAAAAATCCTTTTGCTGACAGTAGGTAGTCTTTAAAGGGAAGTGTTTTTTCTTGTAATCAGTGATAGCGTCAAGGCAACAGGAGGAAACTTTACAACAAGTTTTGGTGTGTGATTCTTGCAGTTGATAATTTATTTTTATGTAGCTGTTAAAATGGGAGTAGGTAGTTTCACAGCCAGTGTTTGAACCATAGAGGTTACTCTGAGTTTTCTGTCAAAGTGGTGATTATAATTCCTCGGTGAAATTTGGTGTTGGAGCTCTGGTACCAGAGATGTGAAGTTTCTTGCTGGGATACTATTTGTGCAAGATCAGGCTTTCCCAAGTGACGCATTGTTGTCCAGTGCAGAGATGACTACTCAGTTCAAAATGATGAATTGTGTGTGAGGGAGGATAGGGATGGGGTAGCCTAAGCAGCTTTTGCTCTTAGTGATCCAGCGGGGTATATCACAACGTTATTTTGGTCAAGAGTTGAGTGACTAAGTATAACAAATTGTTATGAGTTGCTTAAAAGAAAAAAAAAAAAGGTGTATCCTTCTAGGTCTGTTGACCAGTAGCTGGTCCCAGATCCACTGCTCTCCCCAGCTGCTGGCAGCTGGACATACAAGCCTGCAAGGTTTGCATCCCGTTCCAGTTGCCGCTCAGGCCTCTTTGTGCACACCGACATCTCTGATAGCTGGTGCAGACCTGTTATTGTTCCCAGTAGCTGACACTCAAAATGCTGATCTTCTGGGTATCAATTTGCCTACTTGCAGACCCTGGTCTCTTTCAGGATTTGGCCTCTGATCTTACAGTCTGGTACCTGACTCACAGACCTCTTTACTTGCTGGCTAGACTAGCTACACAGTGATGCACGACATTTGCCGAGGAAGTGTGCACATTTTTTATTCTGCCTAGTTTCTGGCACAACAGTCCTGCAGGCCCCTATGTCCTGTGGTCCCCTTTGCAGTTGCTGGCACTTAGACACACACACACGTGTGCACGCATGCACACATATATACAGAGAATACTGTCCTCCCATTTGGAAAAATAGGTAGTGTAGCAATAGAGTTCAATAAAAATGCAGGACAGACTGTGGTGATTGGGTCCAGGGCTTGGCCAGACAAGTGTACTGACCAGCAACCTGTTTATGCTCTGCTGGCCCTTTATCTTCTTTTTTTCTCTTTTTTGCCCCCATGCTTGTTCTTTTTCAATCTGTCTTGGTCTCTCCCTTTTCCCACCTTTGGTTCTTCCTCTAAACATCCCATGCTGCCTTACACATTCCTACACTCCCCTTAAAAAAATCTGCCAGTATGTTTTATGCAATCCTAAAATGCTCTTCCCCAGCATCCTATACAGACCCCCTTGCTACTGTAGACAGTAACACCATTCAGGCTGTAAGGTGATTTCTCTAGCTGACTGCTCTTACTAGGTTTCATTCCCAGAAAATGGGCTGATTGCTTTCCTTTCACAATCCTAGGAGCAGCTCAAGCTGGGTGATCCTGTTGCACTGATGAAGTTACTGGTGTTCTTCTGCCCCTCACTGGGCGTTTGTGCTTATGGTGACTTGCCATTAAATGCATGACCTAATGGGCAGGATAATACACCAGAGGACTGAGTGTGATAAGCCTTGGCAAGTGACAGAGGAGCAAACCCTGAAATTTCTGGGAAGGTATGCTGTGACAGCATCATGCACAGGTTTGGCTGGTGGTCTGTGCTGGCACGTGGCCTAACCCCACCCAGTAATGGAGGTGGATGGGGAAATGTTGCTACCCAGGAGTCTGGCACTGTCTCAAAGCAGAGGACCAGCCAGGCTTTGTTCCTAAGCCGTGGCCTGTAGCCTGGCACTGCGTGCTGAGAGGGTGATTCTCCTGGGCTAGGTTGTGCAGGCTCACTGGAGTGGGGTGGGTCTCAGTTAACTATGACCTTGTGGGTGCTGTATGAATGCAAAACTCTTCCTCACAGCCTATCCTGTGATCCACTTAACAAATCAAACATATGTTAGGGTTTAAATCCAGCCAGCAACTAAGTACCACACAGCTGCTCACTCGCTCCCCGCCCTGGTGGGATGGGGGAGAGAATCAGAAGAGTAAACATGAGAAAAGTCGTGGGTTGAGATAAAGACAGTTTAGTAGGTAAAGCAAAAACGATGCACGCAGGCAAAGCAACATAAGGAATTCATTCACCGCTTCTCATCATCAGGCAGATGTTCAGCCATCTCCAGGGAAGCAGGGCTCAATCACATCTAACAGTTACTTGGGAACACAAACGCCATCACTCTGAACGTCCCCTTTTCCTTCTTCTACGCCACAGCTTTATATACTAAGCATGATATCATATGGTATGGAATATCCCTTTGGCCAGCCTGGCTCAGCTATCCTGACTGTGTCCAGCCCTCCAGCTTCCCGTGCACCGCCAGCCTGCTTGCTGGTGGGCTCATGTGGGAAGCTGGACAGTCCTTGACTGCTTAGGAACAACTGAAAACATCAGAGTGTTACCAACATTATTTTCATCCCAAATCCAAAACACAGCAGTTATCGGCTGTTAAGGAAGAAAATTAACTCTATCCCAGCTGAAACCAGGACAACATGGTAATACCATGGTGTCTGGTGTTCCTTTTCCTACATAACAGCAGGAAGATTGATACTCTGGTTAACATGTCTAAACTGTCATATATAGCAGACTAGTTTTATTTGTTGAATTCTTGGGCTTACTTTACATCTTAACAGGTGAGGGCTGTAATCCATCTTGCAACACCTCTTGGCCTTTGTAGTACAAGACTGATGACTGAAATAGAAAATAAATGAGCAAACTCTTTATTTGTGAAGAGGCAAAGTTTAAATAATTTTATGAAGGGCCAGCCATATATACAGAACTTCCTGTTCAGCATAGCTATTTGAACATCTAGTTTGTAACCATTCCTTCTCTTTCAACTCTGCCTGGGAGTGAAAAGTCCAACAGAAATTAAAAGGTGGGGAGAATATTTATTGAGTTGACCAAATAGGAAAGCAAACCGGAAAAATACATACCACTGAGTTTTGAGAGAAGTGCATCACAGTAAGTAGTCTATTGCTAGTTTATTATAATGGCATTAGACAGTACATTTCTCTTGGGCATTCCTTATTTAAAGTGCAGAACATTTAAAAATCTTTTTTTCAGGTGCTGTGTATATGAAAACAACTACCTATTCTTAATCAATAATTGCATGCTACCATGCACATTTATGTTGCAATGGGTACAAAAAGTGGGAGAAACAGAAGAGTCTATTCATATGTAACCCCTGCTGCTACAGAAAAGGAAATAGCAGTCAAAATAACTCTGTCTCTCAGACCAAGATGGCTGGAAGTATTATAGTGTTCTCCTTCCTGACATAGCCGTTGGACACCTGAAAGAAAATATGTCTTTGAGAGCATGGGGAAAATAGATCTGTATTCAATTTTAGGAAAACCCTTCAGGCTGTTACTGAAAAACAAGTTGCTAAAGTCATCATATTTACATCTGCAATACCAGAACTGCCATCCTTTTTATAGTGCTTTTTAGCTCCCACAGGCAGGATAGTTTCATTGATTCTATATTCATATGTGTGAAACCAATGTCACACCAACATCCAGGGTAGGAAATTGGCAATCCTACTGTCAAAATGCTCACTCCACATGTCAGTTGATCTCTTCCAGTGATTCCAGGTCCTTCTGCCTTCCCTCTTCCTGTATGTTTCACAGTATTTTCACAGTTTGTATAACTAATATGTGCAAAACATGGACATGAACATTTCACAAAAGTACCTCTTCCTCATATAAAGGAGTTGAAATCTTACAGGTCAAGGGTAGAAATCTTTAGAAGATATAGAGAAATGCAGATACTGAATATGATTTAACAATTGAGTTGCATTTTGTTTTAAAAAGTGACCCTTTGTAAAACTAGGAGATTGTGATGTAGAAGGGGTGGGTGATGGTGGGGTGATGGTAACTTCATGAAAGTAAAATCTTAATTTCAAAAGAAAACAGTAAATAGTATTTGAATGCAACTGAAACTATAGTTTTTTCAAGTCATTTAACTGTGTGAAAATTTATTCTGAGTTTTAGAGAAAAGATCCTTATATTCGGGAGAGGGTACCAGTGAGGATTGTTATTCTGAAAGGCTAGGGTGTAGTGGAAATCTCTGCTTTATCCTTGTGGATTGCTAGGCAAAGCAAAAAAAAGCTCATTCTCAAGAGCTTAGATTAGCACTCTGTGCGTTCATGTATTCATACTTTATTCAGCTGGCCTATTGGCCTACCACCATATAATTTCTTTAGTTAAAGTAAACATTGCTTAGAAAAGTTCTCTTCAATTGTAAAAGATGTAGATTAAAGTGTTGTCTTATTTGTTTCCAGACAGGACAACAGTATAGACTCTACTTCTTCTCTGAGAGAAGACAACAAGCTGGAAGGTCAGGAATCAAAACAAGGTATGTAGTGGAGAAAGCTGAAATTTTGTTTCTTGATGTTGGGCAGTCACTAATTCCAGCTCTCTTTTGAACTGCAATCACAGAGAATCATCCTCTTAGAAATCAGATGGTGTAGGATTACAGCCTCTCCCTTGGGCACAATTCCAGAAAAGGAGAGGGGAACTCTGAAGAAGACATTTTAGGAACTTTCGCTTCGTAATTCTGTGAGATTGGAGAGTTTTTTTGTGGCTGGAAGCAAATTGAAGCGCTTCAAAGTTTGCTAGTTTAGCTTCTGGAATGTGACTGAAGCTCTGCAAGGCTCATTTGGCTCTTCATATCTAGTTTTTCGGCCGAAGAGAAATTTAAGTAATTGCTATTTCTTGGTATATAGATGATTGCTAATACTCTGTTACCATTTGCTGAATTCTTTCGAGAGTCAGTTTTATGTTCTGTTGAAGTGATCATAAGACTCTACAGTACTCTTTTTTGACATTCATAGAAATCCATTATAATGTATTGTTTGCCAAAGAACTGCTTGTAATTTAATAAATTTGTTCAGTCTTGATACATGATGCCTTGCTTTGATTGTGTAGAGCTGAGATCCAACAGAATGGTGCCTAACACTCACCACTCCAGATAACTGGTGTATTTTACTTGAAATCAGTGCCAGTGGAAGTATACACCTAAATCTCTGAATCTCTGAGGACTAATGTTTTGTCTCGTATATTTTCTCTTTTTAAATGCAAAAATGTAATGCGTGAGACATTCAGGTCTCGGTGATTGGCAGAATAGAAAATGCAAAAGCACGTAAGTTAGTGGTACACATTTGAGTACCTGCTGTGTAAGGAAACAGTTTTCTTAACCTGCAGCAGTATTTGTTTTATTCCAATCATTAAATCAGCAGCACATAACAACTGCCAGTATTATTTTGTACATGAAGCACTAGAATTGTAGGTGTTTCTGTCTCAGTCTATTTATTTTCATTTGGACTAGTTGTATGCAGTAACATCAGAAATAGCTTTTCCAATCAAAGAATGTTGCAAATTCTTATGAGCTATATTTCTGTTCTGTGAGGGTCTAACATTATTTGCTTCCTGCAACTCCTATTTCACAATTCAGAATGTTGTCTAAAAGCTGTCTCATGGATAACTTTGTGAAACATGTTTTTTTCTGAAGTAATTAGTGAAGGGAATTAAACAGAGAATTAAAGAGTCATAACAAAAGCACCAAAACTTTTAGGAGCCGATTTCTATGGCTTTGTGAGGAATGCTTTAAATGTTGCCTGTTGTACTATATGGAGTGACCTTAGAACTGACAGATTCCCTGCAGATCCCTTCCACTTTTGTATTATTAAAGGAATTGATGATTCTTGCAGGTGATTGCTTCATTGTTGCTTTTTATGACTTAATCAACCAGCCTATCATGATGGCTTTGGGCTGTAACAGTGGCTTCACTCAAGATGTTAGCTTTAAAGAGCTTTTGAGAATATCAGTATAAACTTAATCATTCTGCTGAGCTGCAGCCTGTGATGGTATGAGGAATAAAGAAAGAATGAGAGGATAAGCAAAAGTGGATAAAATAAAATTAAAAAACTGAATTAAGTGTGCTAAAATGAATTTCACAACTGTGACTGAAGGAAAAAGTAAAAGTTACCAAAATGAAAAACATAATGAGAAATGCCAACCATGATCTTTGTTACTGGGTAAAATTACAACTGCAAAAGAGCAAAATAAAGCCCATCAGCTAATTATACATCTATAAGCGAAATAGCTTGTATGAAAACTGTATTACACAGTTTTGGAGGCTCCAAACCCTGAATGGAACCCAAGGTGGCTTTTGCCCAGCTTCCTGTCCCATACTAATTCTGGGACAGAAATAAATGGCTGTTAATATTTTATTCCTGCCTAGTACGTGACCAATACCAAAAGGAATCCTGTGATTGGTTGACCCCAGACAGCAGTAGGCACCCGCTGTCTGCTCAGTTACTGCTCCTCCAGTGGGGTGGGGGAGATGATCAGAAGAGCAAAAGCAAGAAAAACTTACTGGTCAAGGTAAAGACAGTTTAATAAGTGAAGCAAAAGCTGTGCACTGAAGCAAAGCAAACTAAGCGATTTATTCACTAATTCCCATTGACAGCCAGATTTTTAGCCACTTCCTGGAAAGCAGACCCTCAGCAAGCGTAACATTTACTTGAGAAGACAAATGGCATAACCATAAATGTCCTTCTTTCCTCCTTTCCTTGAGTTGTTTTTGCTGAGCACAATGTCATATGGTAGTGAATATCCCTTTGGTCAATTGGGCTCAGCTGTCCTGGCTTTGTAGCCCTCCCAACCCCTTGCCCACCCCAGCCTACTCCCATGGGGTCAGACTGAGAAACAGAGAAAGCTCTGAGGCTGTGCAAGCACTGTTCAGCACTAGGTTAAACACTGGTGTGTTATCAACACAGTTACAGAAACAAATCCAAAACACAGCACCATGCAGGCTGCTGTGAAGAAAATTGACTCCATCCCAGACAGACCCAGCACAAAGTCAGTTTCTCTTTGGCAGTGAATTAAGATGGGTATGCTCAGAAGTTAACTTTCAGGCTTTGAACTGCATTGCAGTAGGTGCATTGATGCACCCATTTTTTTGATCCATGGAAGTGCTGCTTGGCTGAACAACATGTTAGGTAAATACAGACTGCTGCTGTGCAGCAAGACTAGAGAATATCCATTTCTTAATTCTTTTGATCCCATTTCTTTCCATCTTTCACGTACTTTGTTTCTTGCAAGGTAAAGTTGAAAAGATGGTGTTCAAAGTTGATTTGGTAGTATGGGGAATAGGTAAAACTGCATCAGAAACTGAAATACTAATCTTGAAGTTACTGTCACGGTAGGAACAGGGCAAAACTACATAGGATTGAAGAAGGCCCCGGTATGTTCATCTCTTATACGTACTTTTTATACACACTGCTGTGAGGAGGATTTTTTGTAGCTTCAGAATCATTTATGTTTTTATTTGCTTGAAATTGTGGCTTATTTCAGTTTTTATTGCTTGAAAATTGTGGCTTATCTTACAAAGAACAAAGACCAAAAGTTCTCTGTAAGCTTCATCTATATGGCTTATTGTACATTTTCCAAAGCTGAATTTGCTTTCTTGTCAGCTTTGATTAGAACATCGGAGGTGCCACATACGTTAGCTGTATATGTTCACCTATACGCTGTATTTACCAGTATGATGCAATCCAGTAAACCAGTGTTGTGAGGTACTGGATTGATAACTCTGTAAGATCCTAAATCAGGAGTGCATTCTCAGTCAGGGTAACGTGTAGTATTCCTAAATCCTTAAATGCTGTGATGAACCATAGCCTGTGATCAGCAGTGAATATCCAAATATCTTTTTTTAAGAGCATATAGTAAAAAAATCTTTAATACTGAATCAATAAAACCCTTGAAGTTACGTTTTGAAATGTTACTATTGTTTATAAAACCAATTTGAGATTTTTTTGACCTGACAAAAATTATTTTATTTAAATGATTTAAATTCATGGATCTTTTTGCCACTCCCTTAATCTTCAGAGAAACACTTCAAGCAGAAGCGATTTTGTAAGTTGAGAGAAAAAAATAGTTCTGTCATGTGACAATATGATTGTTACATTTGTGTTACAGGCAAGGGAGAAGATAGTGATGTCCTCAGCATAAATGCAGATGCATATGATAGTGACATAGAAGGCCCGTGCAATGAAGAAGATGGCCCAGATGTGCAAGAAACCACTGCCAGAAGTGGAGCCAGTCAGATAGACGACCTTCAGAAGGACATTGAGAAAAGCGTGAATGAGATACTGGGGTTGGCAGAGTCCAGCCCAAAGGAGCCCAAAGCAGCCACCTTAGCCCTTCCTACGTCAGAAGATGTTCAGCCATCAGCACAGCAGCTGGAGCTTCTGGAGCTCGAGATGAGGGCCAGAGCTATTAAGGCTCTGATGAAAGCTGGCGATGTAAAAAACCACCCTTGAGATTGTTCAGATTTAATTTCAGTGTTTGTGTTGAAGGATGTTATGTCTGTTCTCTTCTGTGCTAAAGTATATTTGGGTTGGGTATGACATTCCTCATTCAAACCCTATTGTGTATCCTGACCTGTGGCTTAAGCTGTTGATAGTTGTTTTCATTGCCTTTAGTGTGCTGCTTCCATGACATGTACAGAGGGACTTGATGCTTCATTGAGATAAGGTCTCTCTGTGCTGGGTTATCTCCTCAAGGAGTCACACAATGCATAGAGCTGTGCCAGGAACCTGATGCCTTCCAGAAAGGTTAGGAGAAAAACACTAATTAGGTGTTTTCTCCATTAAAAATTTCTCCTTTAAAGAAAAAGTTTTTTATAGCCCCATTGTTAGAAATTACCAACTATTTTGTTTGTTAGTAACTTGTTAAACTACTTGAGAAACTTGATTTATATGTACTTCATTAAAAATGCCATTTTGAAGAAGTCTTTTGTCATGTGACTGCCTTCAGCATTCTGTGATGGGATTTGAGTTTGCTTATTTCTCCTTGGGGCCCAGCTCATCACACTCTGGCTCTTCTGGTTAAAATGAGTTACTATTTGCTTAAATGCCTACCTAATTTTTAGAAAGTTGAATTCCTAAAGTGAAGGATTTTTTCCTTTCAAATACATAGTTGAGCCATGTTATTTCCCATCCCTGGAAACATTCAGGGTCAGGTTGGACGGGGCTCTGAGCAACCTGATCTAGTTGAAGATGTCCCTGCTCATTGCAGGGGGGTTGGACTAGATGGCCTTGAAAGGTCCCTTCCAACCCAACCATTCTATGATTCCATAATTTTCAGAGTTATGAAAGTGCCTGAAAGTGACAAATGTGAGTTTTTATACTGTTGGTCATTTAATTATGTCACTTTCCTCTGCTGTTTATTTTTGTCATAACGGAAATAAAGAAAATAGTTTTTGCTTGACTATGAAGCTCTTTTGTTGAATATTCGGCATAATATTTAGAGCAATGCAGCCAATCAGACTATTTAGAAGACCTTGAGTTTTTAACATTTCACGTGCCCTGTAAATAGGAAAGTCCACCTAATTTCTGTACAAATGTTTTTTAGAAAAGGCATTTATTTATATTATATAACTTCTAAAAATCATAATTCTACTTTTATCCATTTCAAGGGTATTTCTTTGTAAGTAAATTATATTATAGGATGGATTTTCCTGCTATGATGTCTTACAATAATTAAAATAATTCTGCTTTTGTTTATAATTAGTGCTGGTTTTATACTTGACTGCTAATCAAATGCATATTCAAATATTTCCGTGTCTATTTGTTTAAAAACAGACACACACAAATCGATTTTTTTTAAAGTATGAAGCTTACAAACGTGTTCCTTATTATGTGAAATGATGTAGTATATATTGTTACCCCAATTGTCTCTTGATTGTTACTTAGAAACCAAATTGTATACTTTGCAACAGTAGGATAGATAATTTCCACACACTCTTTTGTAATATTACTGCAGACCTTGTTCTATTCAAGTATTATGTCTTGAATTCTCTTGCAAGATTTATAATTTTCTTTTTTCTCCTTCCTTTCTTTCTTTTCCTTTTTTCCCTGTATTCTCTTTTTTTCCTTTCTTTTTTCTCACCTTTTTTCCTCTTTCCTTTTAACCTTTTTTCTACCCTTCTCCCTTTCTTTGTTGGTAGTCAAGTACATTGTCTTAGTAGCAAGCTTCTTACATATTTCTTAAAGTATCATTGATTTCCTCTAGAATCAACAGTATTGTGAGTAGAATGGTAGCAAAATAGTGCACTATAAACTTTATTATAAACTAAAACCTTCATTAAATGCAGCTGAGAAAATTACAGTGTGCATTCACCAAATGATGGCAGTGACCTGAGTAAATTTCACCTGACTGTCCTCAGTTATCTGCATCAACAACATTTTTCTCTTTATTTTTTAGCAAATGGAGGATGTAAGTTAGGATATATATATTCTATTCAAAAGTTAGCTGTCTCAGAACATGTGTGCATTGTCTTCAGTTAATTTCATTTGGCTTTTTTGGTGAACCTGTGATTTATTTGAGCACAGAGAAACAAAAGTAGGTGAAAAAAACAGTAGTCAAAACCTAGATGTGCAGCCTTTTTCTTTGTAAAAGTCATAGGCTAAATTATGTTAAGACTGCAAAAATAAGTTTTACTGCTGCTATACTTAGATCCTTAAGGTGCTGAATATCTTGCTTTGCCTGCTCTGGAAACAAAAAAGCTCACCTGCAAGGACATTTGCTTCCTAGTCCTACTGTGCAACCCTGTATATCTCGACCGATCGGAAAACTTGTTCCTTATGGTTGTTCCTCTCTTCTTTCATGTCAAGTTTCATTTGCCAGTTCTACAATCTGCCATAGCATTGATGAGGCTTGCAAAATCCCAAGCAATAGGAATAAACAAAAATCAGTCCTTAATATTGAAGAAGAACATACAATGCAGTAATAGTTGGCTGACAGGACAAACGTTTATGGAACTGTATCTTTCCTTTTTTACTGGTACTCCCAACACCTGTGGTGTCATCACCCACAGAGGCGATTCCTTACTGACTGCATACTCCCGTGTGGCTCCCGTGTATTCCTGCCAACCACTGAACAGCAAAAGGTTACTTCATGCAGAAGCCATGCCTGGGTAAGGCATAACATAGGGTGTCTTAGGAAAGCTGAACGTAAATCAGGTTTAATGAGAAATATGTTTCCTACGCCACCAGAAGAACTGATACAGGCAGATGTGCAAAGTCCGTTCAGCAGCATTGCAGAATGAAATGTTGGCAGTTGTTTGGCAGCAAGGAAACACTGCTGGAAGTAATGACAAACTAGAACATAGTTCTCTTCTACTGCCTGCTTGCTGGAGGCATATGGCATTTATTTCTGCACTGAGCTTCATTTTCCTATTGGTTTTCCAGGTCAACCTCTAAAAGTTCATTTTTTAGTGTGTTGCACTGTCAACAGTTATTGATTCAAGTTCTGTATCAAGAAGTTGCATATGCTAGCTTTAATATGTAGTATGACAAAGATGAAACAGGTTTACTGTGCATATGACAGAGAAGATTGGTAATTACAGCCCAATTAAATTTGAAATTGAAAGAGAAGGATTCCAAGAAAATGAAATTAAGATGTTTACAAAAATAATACATATATATCATAAGAGAGACTTCATGTGATTGATTAACACAAGTGCTAATTAATTTTTAGGATATTGTACTATTGCTGCTTAGGTTAAAGACAGATCAGCTAAATTGTATGGGTTCCTGCACTGATTCGTATAACTGCAGTTAAAAAAATCCAGTGCATTTAAAAGATTTATTGCACAACTTTTGTTGTTCATTTTCAACTATCTCTGATTTTTTCCTTGAAAAATAAATCTAGTATTTCACTTGGAGGAAGAGACAATTTGTATGTAAAATGCAGTAATGAATTATTTATGAAACCTTGAATTAATTTTACTGTTTTTTGATAAACCACCTTGTTGAAACAAAAAAATACTAAACACTGGGTGCTGGTCAGCATGAGGAAAAAGATCCTTATTATATTCTGGACTGCAGCAGAAATGTTTCCTAATGAATTTTGGCTGTCCTTACAGATGAAGCCAAGTGCTATTTTGAGGAGGAGGTTTGACTCTGTTTGAGTAAATAAAAAGCCATGACTCTCCAGAGAGCCAAAGGTATCTATTAGTTCTGTTTAGGGGCTTTGATGTTATTTTTCAGGTGATTTCATAGAGAATTAATAGAGAATTATTAATTCAGGAGGAAATGGTTAAGGACCTGCTAAGCCACCT